TATCGTGAATGTGTGTATTTCGTTTCGAATCGTTCCATGACATGGCTATTACGAATTCGCGCTATAGGCAAGAAACATTTAATATAAAATGGCTCGTTAGGCGATGAAATTAGCCGCGTGCTGAGAGGCCTTAATTGAACTATTAATGTAATTGAATGTCAGGCATAAAACATAAACACCACAGGACATACAAGTCATGAAGTCCACACCACACCCCCTGTGCTTATAAGACAGCTCTTAGACTTAGACGATTAAAACAGCTGAAAGCTGGCCGCCTTCATCGTTGTGGTGTGAGAAAGGCCTTCCTGTGAAGTGAATGGAAGGATACCCTGACCGAGATAGCATGAGTTGACACAATGCCCAACCAGCCGCCTCTTGCGTCAGTGGCAGTGGCGGCAGAGAGAGCGGTGCGGGCCAAATCCTGCTGTGCCAAACCACACACTCATTGGTGGAATTACCACGGGGCGCTGGGTTCCGGACCTCAGTAACTTTTGAGAAGACTGGGGTAATTTAGGATTGCGACGCTGTAAAACAACATGAAAGCAAATCGCCCGGCGGTAACTTTTAACATGTGATTGTGCCCCATGCACTTACTAGGCTATTTTGTAGAGCGGGTCAGTACCGTCGTTGTGGGCGGGCGAAAAATGAGAGCTGGACAGTATCACTCATGTGTTATTCACACCCCACCAGCCTGCCAGCCCTTTCAGCTGCACCGACTCATTGTGCATGGCGTATTGTTGAGCCGGGTGTGTGGCGTCTCCACAGCCTTCCACGCCCGCTGAATCACCAGCGCGCGCTGTGGCCCGCCAATTAACGTTAATGAGCGCCACCGCACTGCGGAGCGGGACGTCCAGCGGTCACGGGTCGCCGGAAATTGCTGTCCGGCGCCGGGACGTTCGATTCTCGGCACAGGCTCGTGCGCAGATGACGCGGTGAGTTGAGTTTGCAGCGACGCGGGCTTTTTACGCGTGGTGAGACGTCGCAAAGCGCGTTGGTTCCGTTCTTTCCGCGTTGTGGATTATCGTGAATCATCGCGGCGGGTGGCCGGGCATGAGTCATCTACAACGCGTCGGGTTTGCTTCCGTCTGGATCGATTCCCACCAGGGGCACGACCGCACGTGCTGCGTTCCCAAAAGCGGGGCACTCGCGAATGGAGCTCACTGCGCCTCACTTCGGAGCTCGCAGCACGGCTGCCAAGCGCGCCACCTCCGACATCGAGCAAGGTCAGCTGCCGCCAAAGCCTTCAATCTGCGACTCCGACATCTGCGCCCCCTCCCCCCCCCACCGGTGCGGCGCGGTTCGGCGCGGTTCGGCGGCGCCCGTGGCCCCGTGACCTTTGCCCCAGGCGTGCCACCTGACCCTGGTCACGATTGGCTGGACCAGCCAGGCATTCCTACGGCTACGGCCAAGGCGCCAGCCGCCCAGCATAAACAAATAAACACCGCTGCCGCAGCAGACGGCTTCCTGTCGACACCGGCGACTCTCCATCGGTACCGGCGGCTCTCCATCGGTACTGGTGGTTCTCCATCGGCACCGGCGACTCCCCATCGGTACCGGTCGTTCTCCATCGGCACCGGCGATCTCCCATCGGCCCCGGCGACTCTCCATCGGTGCCGCTGGTTCTCCATAGGCACCGGCGGTCCCACATCGGCGCCGGCGGCTCTCCATCGGTACCGGTGGTTCTCCATCGGCACCGGCGGTCTCACATCGGTACCGGTGGCTCTCCATCGGCACTGGCGGTCTCACATCGGTACTGGTGGGTCTCCATCGGTGCCGGTGGTTCTTTATTGGCACCGGTGGCTCTTCATCGGTACCGGTTGCTGTCTGCCGGCACCGGCGGTCCCCCATCGGTGCCGGTGGCACTCCATCGGTATCGTTGGCTGTCGATCAGCACCGGTGGCTCTCCATCGGCACCGGTAGCTCTTTGTCGGTGCCGGTAGCTGTCCAGCGGCACCGGTGTCTCTCCTTCGGTACCGGTGACTCCCCATCGGCACCATCAGCTTCTTCCGCCACTGCGTGTCCTTCGTGGCGGTGGGTGTGTAGTGGTCTGAGCCATGACGTAGTTCGGGTGGAATGAGATGAGATGCCTTGGCAGGGTCAGTGGGAGACGCCATGACGCGGAGCCTGGCAGAGAGTTATGATGAATGAGCAGATGCTGTCAGGAAGACGCGTTTAGTAGTTCAGCTTTTTCCAGATAAATTGGTGGCGCGCAATCACTACCCGTGGGCTTTGGTGGAATCTGTGCGCAAGGTTTTCTGAGTGTGAGGGCTGTTCCACGCTTCACACGGCGGGGAAAAGTGCTAGCTTTGCCCCATATTTCGTGATCTACTGGTTTTTGTTTGCTGTTTGCGTCCTTACCTGGTGTGAACAGGCGCACGGAACATCGAGCATGCTTTCTTGTAATGTCTTTTCAAGAATGAGTCCAAGCTTTTTGAATGGATGAGGTAGCTCACTCCCAAGCGCTGCGATCGTGCCTATCTCAGTAGCGTCGTGTCAATCACCTACCCGACTGGACCACGGGCTTTTAATCCGGGAGCTGACCTTAATTCCCTTGACCGTTTATTTGAGCGTGGATACTCGCAGTGTCACACCGCATCCAGATGACATTTGTGGCCGACTGATGCGGCAGGTTCGGGTACCGTCGCAGCCGACGGCAGATGGGCTGCCCACGCCCGATCAAGGCGCTCTGGCCTCGGCTGTTGAAAAATCACCGGCCAATAGTCGGCGTTTAGCGATGTGGCCGAGATGAGTATCAGTAATGACTCCCTCCCGAGGATTTAATCGAGAGGGCTTCAAGGCAACGCTCAGCCCACGCCAGCTTTGACGGATTCGGCGGCGTTTGTCCTCTGCAGCGTTTGTCGCTTGGATGTTCTTTGTGGTCGTGGCGCAAAACTGGTTCCGATAAAGGGCATGCCACTGTTTACTTCCGAATGATACAGTGAGCTCATCAGAGGTTTTCTATGACGGGACATGACTGTAACATCATCCTGTTTTGAACTTTTGAAATGAACGAATGAACATGTTATCAATACACTTGAAAAATTGTATTGCGTACTTCTGGCAATTTCCAAAACTGGGCTTTAAACTCAGCATGGCATCCACGACATCAAAGTGTTGCCATCGTCATGAATATCAGTGAATTGACCGCTAGATGGCATGGTCACGCGGGGCTCTTTGACGACCATTTGAGCATTTCATGTTTGACATTTAACAGCAATTCATCATGAAATAACCTAGTGAAATGACAGAAACGTAAACGACTTGCATTCTCCATTTAACTGCCGTGCCTCTTTACATCCACGAAACAGCAGAAGTTTCTCACAAAATTCAGACGTAGAAACGCATCCCACAGCGCGGTAAAGCACCTTCGTTCACCTCGCTCGCACATTTCCGTCGCGCAGACATTTGAGAACCAAATCACAGCTTCACGATCAAAAGAGGAAAAAGTAAGGAGGAAGGTGCATCCGAGAGTGGATGAAGGCGCGCTACCGCAGCCCACCCCATGCAGGGCGTATCCAATAACGCAGTACCAGAACACGTGGGCAGAACACCAGAACATCGCCTCAACAAACGCCGCTGATGTGAAGTGGTGCTGAGTGAAGGCGAAAGCATGGTTTGTTGTGCTTTTGCCAGTTTCTCATAAGCACAACCAACTGAGCCACTATGCCTACACTGTCAGCCCAGCCCCTACGGGCCCGTTGGCTATGGCGGAACAGAAAACGTTGTCACTTTGGCTTCAATGGACCTAACAATCTTATAAACAATTTTAGCTAGCACGGCTGGAATATTTTTCAGAAAATCGTCCTCGCCCGGTGTGTTAGTATGTGCATCGATGGACTACACACTACACTCCAAAATACTGACCAAGCGAGGAATATAGTCCGAACAATTGTGCTCCGTAGTACTAATATCTGGTCTCATTCCTGCCCTTAATCCGTAATCCTGGCTAGGTCGTTTCCTTAAGAAATAGCCAGGCGGAGCATAAGCTAAGCAAAGACCTGAGTGGTTTCAGGGATTTTAAAATATCAGAGCACGCAAAGTGCTACCTGAAGCCTTCCACCATGAAGCAGACGAGCAAACATCGACGCGTGCCGGAGTCAGCACAAGGCCGCTGCCCTTCTCTGCCATTACACCTCACGATGCAGCACCAACCCGTTGCCGCAAAACGAGCGGCAATTTCATTTCGCAAACGGGGTCAAGCATCAACCGCTCCACTGCCTCCAATGCGGTCAGGGTCACTTCCGGTACCGCTGTAGTGCCCCGTGTCGAGCCAGGGGTGGTATGATTGCCCGCCCGTTCCTGCGGAGGGGTCACCTACATTCCGTCCGGTTTACCTCTCGGCGGCGTCTCGCACCTCACCTTCGCACCGCGCGCGTGCCTGCGGTCACCCGCCCGCACAGGCGGCCTTTGGGGCGACGCGTCGCTCTAAAGGCCGTGTCTGCCTGCCGTTTGCTCAGAATCTGACGACAGCCGGCAGACGTCCCCCCTTCCCCCTCCAGTTCATCGCAGCGGCGTCGAACCCCTCGGTAGCCTCGCGCGAAAGGCGCGTTCTTCCCGGCGGCCGCTCGCGGTCGTGAGCGCGCGTTCGGCGGTATTCCGGCTGACTGGTGCGGCCTGCTTCGCGGCCCGGCGACGCGCGCGTCCGCTCCACTCCAGCCGGCCGCCCGCGAGGTCCGGGGAAGCGGCTGCCAGGCACGCCTCCGGTCGTGTATAGGCCGGTCTTGGCCTGGTTAGAACGACTCGGTGCGGTGCTGAAAATACCCCGGGCGGGCCTGGTCGTAATGAGCAGCTCGAAGATTAAATATGGCCATTCCAAGCGTAAATACGCTCGGAGGACAGCCTGGGGCAGTATTAAATGCACGTCAGGTGTTTTGAAAGGCTCGCAGTTATGGCGATTTATGTCCCGTATAATGCGTTTTAAATCTGTTAAAGCGCCGATACATTTCAATAATAGCGCACCTGATGTAACTTTGACTAATGCCGTGGTGCTCTGTTTTCAGATGAGAAGAATATGCTGAGGTTCTCCGGCAACCTCTCTCACAACGACCACTTCAAACTGCTGGAGAAAGACGGCAACACCCTACTCATTGGTGCCAGGTGAGATAATCTGCCCAAGCGCCGGTGCCTCTAACAGGGGTCAACCGCCTGGTTGACACTAGGGGCTGTTACTCCACAGGGCAAGTGTATAACGTGTGAGACGTTAATGAATTGACGTTAGACATCATGTGGAAGTTAGCATACAACAGTGTGCAACGTCCGACAGCGACAGCCCACTGAACCTCTCACGGGCTTTCCAATGTCAGCCGCCAACCAATGCAGCGGCATCGGCAGCTGTCAACCGCTTTGACCGACTTCAGTCATTTCCCGATTCGCGCTGACTGCTCGTAGAATTCACACATTAAATCCTGCGGGGTGCGGTTTGTCTCCTTCAGTGCGGGCAGATGGGTTCACTGCCTGCCCGTTCCCGTCCGTCCTGCTCCCACCCCATCACTCCCATGCCGGGTGAAGCTGATCGCACCGCTGGATAACAGACACCTCGTGGTACGCGCTGTCGCGCTATCCATCCTCCGAGACGCGCGCCGGTCAGCGAGAGCCGTCTCACGGTCCATATACCGGCCATAATGGTGTCACGGAGCAGACAATGAGAGGAAGCTGGGCTGATTTCGCCATCACTCATCTGCCAGTATTGTAGGGACACGCTCGCTGACTTGTTTGTCTGTGCCCCTACTGAGTGGAGCACCGTCAGGGGTAGTACAATCCCCGCTCCGTCCAGGCCCGTGCGATTATATTGTCGGAAAATGCTCGCGCTTCGCACGAAATGGGTCCTGATCCATGAGAGGGCTCAGCCCAGTTTAATTGGATCGATTAATCTCCATGAAAAATCGATATTTCTGATAGGGAAGGCGGGGAGGCATTCTATACGAGCGCAGTTAAGTGAGGGAAGCCTTTGGTTAGCGGGCCGTTGGTCCGTGGAGCCTGGCAGTGGCCAGCAATTTCAGGGCATCGGGACTGCTTGAATGGGAAGTGGAACCCTTCGTGTCGAAATTTAACTGTGCACTTAAACATCGAAATGACAGGCATCCGACTCACGCCCCAAGTTTGCTGGTCTGAAGTTATTCCCGCGTGTTAATCTGTTCCAGGTGACTGCGATTGTTGCGGATTTTGTCCATGGACTTCATGTTCATCAATGTAAAAAAGTACTGTTTCCGCCGGCCCGTGAGTCAGGCTTGCCAGCTCATCTGCCTTACCTGTTAATACACCTGTCTGAGCTGGCCACGTGTTTGATGGGTCAGATCAGCCCAGCTCCGGCGTTTCTCTCTGCTCTGATGTGGAGACCTCCCGATCCCAGCCCCAGCGGTCCAGAGCAGCCCGACCAGTCACAGCCCGTCAGCGCCACAGGAGCTAGGCATGGTCAGACCGCTCACAGGAGCTGGGCATGGCCGGGCCGTCACCGCCGGGGAGGGGGTGGGCATGGTCAGATCGCTCACAGGAGCTGGACATGGCCAGGCCGTCACCGCCGGGGAGGGGGTGGGCATGGTCAGACCGCTCACAGGATCTGGGCATGGCCAGGCCGTCACCGCCGGGGAGGGGGTGGGCATGGCCAGATCGCCCACAGGAGCTGAGTATGGTCGGACCGCCCACAGGAGCTTGGTATGCCCAGGTCGCCACCGCCGGGGAGGGGGTGGCTGCGGTGGTGGGGGCTGCCACGCCCCGCACGGCAAACTTCCCGCGGTTCAGCCGTGACTTTTACACCAATAAAAGTCACAACGCGGCGGTCGTTCGTTTTATTATACACTTTCCCTTCGCCAAAAGCGGCCGGCGCTCCCGGGCTGGCAGGACGTGTGCTGTGTGCTGGACACGGACGAGAATGCATGGCGAGGCACTGAGGGTACGGACGAGAATGCGTGGCGAGGCACCGAGCGCGCGGACGAGAATGCGTGGCGAGGCACCGAGCGTGCGGCCAGCTTCACGCATGCCTCAGTCGAGTATGCAAGCCGAGGACCTGTGGGTCGAGGCAGTCCTGAATGGTGCACTGGCTCGCGGTAGCCGAGAAACTGGTCTGAGTACTGGAAGCGTCCGAAGACCTTATTTATGTTTACATATGTAAAGCTATTCGAATAGCTTTCTTGAAATATGAATCGCTTTGTTCAGCTTTCACGGGGCTTCCAAAATCCAAAGAAACGCTCGTCCCTTCATTTGTTCATTTCTAACGTTACACCTTCAGCGTGACTCACTGACAAAGCAGGTTGGCAAATACGTACTCACGGCGAATGCATACTGACTACGTTCCATGATTGATCTCTCCTTAAAGCCGTGGGTATGCGGCTATCTCATTTCGACTACATTGTGAGCTCGCGAGCTAACCACAAAAGTTGCCGGCTGGTCGATGGCAAGCCGGTTGCGGACTTCTGTCCTCAGTCGATACGGGTGAGCTGCCTTCATGGCAACAGCCCGTTTATATTGGACCCCTTCGGTTGTCTGCCCCTAGGGTCCCCTAATCAACTTATGAGCCGTGAAATCAATTCTGGGGCACGGATGGAAGAACACGCTTCAAGAGGTGGCCGTGGCTGGCTCTGAGCGGCACGGACCATCGAAACGTGACGTGCTCCAGGATCATCGTGTTCAATACCGGGCTCTGTGGTGCCCATTGACACGTGACGTGTGTTCCAGGAACATCGTGTTCAACATCAGCCTGTCTGACTTCACGGAGCGCCGGGAGGAGCGGCTCGAATGGCACTCTGAGCAGCAGGACGTCCAGCTGTGTATCAACAAGGGCCTCGACGAGGTGAGCACGGGCAGCGAGCGCGCACCTTGCGCTCACCGAAACTTCTCTGCCGGGGCTGCAGACATTTTCGCTCCACACGAGTGGCTTCGCCTAACAAAGGCAGATGACATGAACGGACAATGGGCACGTGCGCCGCCGTGGCCGCATTCAGCGCTCTTTCGCTATGAATTCGCTGGAAAGCGACTGGCTGGCACGGCCCAGTTCGTACGGCGGCCGACTCGCCGGTCCGGCGCTGGTCCTCTGTCGCCGGAGCTGAGTGGTCCGGCTCACTGCACTCTGATCATGGTGCGTGTTTCCGTTCACCTGTTTAAGTGCACATCCTCGCTTCTATCCAGGCATGGCGCCGCTCTCCTGCCCGAGCAGGCGCGGGCGGGCCGACTTTATTGGAGCCCACGTCACCACGCTTTGTTTCGTTGCGTGTCTCCTGTTTTTGCTCGTAAACATAACCCGGGAGTGGCGATAACTTATTTCACTCGGCTCGCCCCCGGCGTTTTAGTGGCGCATAAATTACCGTACCCTTAACATCTGTCTTTGAGATCGTTCTCCATTAGGACTGCTTCCGGCATACACGTTTTAACTCCGATGGCTGGCAATGGTTTCCTGTGAGAGGAGAGGGAGGGGAACTACATGTCCATGCTTGGAACGGAAAGCCAGGGAGATACGCTCAAGCCCGTGTGCGCGCTCTTTCTCTCATGGTCGCTCTGCTGCCATATAACGTACCGGATTTCTGCTTACTCCTGCGCTGTTCCCTCCGCTTGGTGCGCCGAATTTTCCGCTTCAGCCGGTGTCAGCTGTGGCGAGATGGCGCTTAAGTGATGTCTCTTCGCGTGAACTGCCATCCGGATTCACATCTCAGGGTTACTGCCAGCCGTGAGCGAGGTCATAATCTTTTCGACTATGAATGGGGCACCGCGAGTGTCCACGCTTCACCAGCGGCACGCGCCTGGCATGGTTTTGACTCTAATTTGCGGGCATCAGAGGTTGGAATGCTCTCGTGATACGACGTCGCCCACCGTCGCCCCCCGAGCCGCTGTTGTTGAGGCGATGTCACCACGCGTGTCCTTGGCGCTCCGGCAGGAGGCGTGCCACAACTACATCCGAGTGCTGGCCAAGAGAGGCGACGACGAGCTGTTTGTGTGCGGCACCAACTCCTACAAACCCAAGTGCCGCAGCTACAAGAAGGAACCGGTACGTACACTCCCTGGCAGGAACGCTGTCGTCAGTCGTCACACGTGTGCGCGCATGGCGGGGGCCTTCCCCGCCGGCAGCGGCGTCTCCAGTTAGTTGCTCAGGAGTGTCCTATCGTTTGCGAGCATCGTGCATACAGTATATAACGGTGGGTACAGCTCAGACAATTGCAAACGAATGCCGCTCACGGCGCGACCTTCTGTAAGTGAATGTGAGGCATGAACACGACAGCCGAAACATTCTGTGCGCCCCCGAGGTCCCTCCGCAAACGGCGTCTGATAAACGGCCTCATTAAACGCTATGCAGATAACGGCGAAGGCCGAGACACGCGCTCATGTCTGCAGAGCACGCATTTGCCCCTGGCACAGCTTAAGGGTGCTGTCCTCCCTGAACAGTGGCACCTGGTGTTGCAGGAGCTGGGCTACGTGCCTCAGGGCGGCGAGCGGGACGGTCGCGGCCTGTGCCCGTACGACCCCAAGCACAACAGCACGGTCACGTTCGTCGGTGAGTTCACGACGTTTGCCGGCGCTGCGCCGTGCTTCTATTGTGAAACTGTCGGGAGCGGTTCGCGACGCCGCCGAAAACTGTGGGGAGTCGGTCGTGACGTCGCCGGAAACTGTGTGGAGTCGTTCGCTGTCGCTGGAAGCTATGGGAAGTCGTTCGAGACATCGCCCGAAATTGTGGGGAGTCGGTCGCGACGCCGCCGAAAACTGTGGGGTGTCGGTCGCGACGTCGCCGAAACTATGGGGAATCGGTCGCGACGTCGCCGGAAACTATGGGGAGTCGTTCGCGATGTCGCCGGAAACTTGCTGGTGGTGTACGATTGTGGAGCATGTCGCTGGTAAAAGATTAAGCCTGGTTAATGATAGTTCTCTGTCCTGGGGTGCCTAGGTCTGTTCATTGAATACATCCATCCTTGCGTTTCGAATTTTCGGCGTCTGCAAATGTTGCCGCACAGTTTACTGCGTCAGCAGCGTAGCCAGGCGAGAACTGATGGCGTTTGTGCCTGCCTGCCCTTTACCCCGACTGCGCGTGCTCGCTGCGCCAGGCGGCGAGCTGTACGCGGGCACGGTGGCCGACTTCGCCGGCTCGGACCCTCTGCTCTACCGACATCCGCTGCGCACCCAACAGTTCGAGCTCAAACAGCTCAACGGTGAGTGTCAGTCCGCCGCGGGCGGGTGTGTGTCACGTGTGTCAGTGTCTGGCGATGTCTTGCGGCCCGTTAGGAGGCTTGGTCGTCTGTAGTAGCGGTACGGTAAGTGGTATCTGCACGGCGTCTGATCGCGGTCGTTTTCACGAAGGACGACTCCGTGAAATATCTTAGGCCATTCTGAGAAGCCAAATGTTTGTGTCTAGCTGTTGGGCACGTGATGGAGCGACATTAAGTCATTTCTGTTTATAAACATGCATTTGAGCCAACCCCGATAGGTGCAACACAAAGTCGAGCGTGGTTTTAGGAGCACACAGCGGTGTCTCCAAGCGCTTCACGCTGACACGCTGCCGTGAAAATGGCCACTGATGCGGTGTCTGTCTGTCCGTCGTCCTCGTAGTGGGCGACGTGAGCGGTGCCTAGCTATGTTCGGTTTGAGCCATTTCAAGATATTTACCGACAATCGTCGACCTTCAAAATATCAGGAGATGCTGGTTAAACGGAGGTACTGGTTAAAAATCAGGAGAGAGAGAATGAGAATGGTACTGGTTTATCACGCAAGCATTGCAATGCTCGTTTGCTGGGGCTCGCTTGCTTCCTCGCGGCCAATGCGTTGGTCATATTTTTATTCTCGACGTTTCAAGCTGTGTGTACGATCACAAGTGGCCAGAAGCGCAGCTTGAAACAATAACAATATAGTATATGCTTTATGATAGCATCGCTCCATCGGTGCCTCCTGGTATATTTAAGGCGATGGCCGTCGACGTAAGATCCCCAAACTCACGATGAGCCATGTCAAGTCTGGTTTACATGTGTCAGGTAATTGGATTGATGGTGCAGATACGAGAGGGTCGACATTTTTTAACCACAAGTGGTAAGCATTGCGCTCAAGTGTATCGATTATTGGAATGGGCATATCGCACAGCATTGTGTGGATCTTCATCCGTGCAACTTCACAGTTCGTTGCGGACGTTCTGTGCGTCAAAATAGACTGTCGTTTCATTTTTGTCCCCTGAACTAGCTGTCACAAAGCGGGGCATTAATTTTGTTACAAAAGCGGCTCGCTTTTCCGAACACGTGTGCCACTGCATGTTTGCCGTGATCGATGCAGGGTTGTCAAGATATGAATCCCGAAAGAGCCGTGGCAGGTAGCTATGGTCGCAATGCCAGCCAGTTTGCATTGTCTCGCGTCCACAGGTCCCATAAGTTACCAAATGGACGCAATCTTTTCCTGTGTTTTTACCACCTTGACGAATGTTTCGTTTGCTTTGCAGTTTTTTTCCTCCTCGCAAAGCCACCGGCAAATATCTATTGGATCGGAGCATGGGCTTTTTGATAGCACGAATCCTTCCGTATGGCTGAAACATGACCTTTTTATGTCCTTAACGGACGTTCTAGATTATCTGTAAGCCGATTTGTTTCATTGTGCAGGCCTTTATCACATAGGAAAATGTGTATCATGTTGTCTCATGACTGGTTAATGTGATAATGTAATGTTACTAGAGGTACGATATCGCATATGCTGGTAGCAAATGCACATCGTAGATACAGCGCTCCGAACTGAGGGTTACGTATGCCGCAACGCCGAAGAAGAGGGCTCTTTCGTTTAGGATGGGCTGCTCGTGTCAGAAATGTGAGCCACCTCGCCATAAATAACATGCGTCGGTGAATTTGTACATGAATTTGCAAACTAGGTGATTCATTTTTGCTCACCTTGTTGCCGTTTTATTACTATTCGCTTCAATTCGACAATCGCCATTGGATACCTATTTCGCATGGGACGTGCACACGTACCCGGCTTTGTTGCGAGTGCGGTGACTGGTAAGCTGATCTGTGCCTTCCTGGCGGTGTCACCTTCTGGTTCTATTGGAGCTGATCTTTTGCCTTCCTGGCGGTGTCACCTTCTGGTTTTATTGGAGCTGATCTTTTGCCTTCCTGGCGGTGTCACCTTCTGGTTCTATTGGAGCTGATCTTTTGCCTTCCTGGCGGCGCCACCTTCTGGTTCTTTTGGAGCTGATCTTTTGCCTTCCTGCTGGCGTCACCTTCTGGCTCTATTTACTTACATGCGTTCCTTGATACGGAACGAGGGGCCGTACGAAAGTCACGCAGTTTATAGTGGGGTTCTAATTTATTGCCTCAGGCGGGCGCTCAAAAGGTGCCAGGATCTCCACCCACGGAGGTGTGTGGGCCGTTGGCTGCAGCACGCGCTGGCGAGGGGTTGTGATAGGCCACAGCCAAGGCGACAACCGCCCAGACTGGCGGATCACGTACGAGAGAGGTGGCTGACCGAACTTGCCCCGCGGAGGGGCTGAAACGCTGATGTCTCTCCATGCAATAGGCGTGCAATGGGGCAGAAGTTTGACGGCGCTTGTCGCAGCGGAGTAGTATTGAGTGTGGAACGGAGGGCGACATACAGGTGGGCAGATGACACAGACCGTCCACGCACACCGTGTCGGCCATCGGCCACAGAGGACTCGGTGCTCCAACCTCCCGACCTCTGACCTCGGCTTCGAGGCTCGTCTCCTTGGCGCCTCCCGCGGCGTGCCGGCAGTACGTGTCTCCGGCGGGCGCCTGAAGCTCTCACGCGCCGACGGCAAAGTGTGCCCCCTACACGTGACGGCAGGCGCCCCCCCCCCCCCCCACCCTCCCCAGCCCGGCACGTGAGCCCAGTTTGCCGGGCCGACTCCGGCTGCCGACGTGTCTGGCTGGCGTCCAGCGGCCGCCTTTAAAGACCCCGCGGCGGTCCCGTGACGGCCGTGACGCGCCGACGAAGCACGGCCGCCCGCTACCGTCAGGAGGCGCCGACACGGCCGGTGTTCCGTAGCCGTGCGGGGCGCGGGGTCACATCTGTGGCCGACGTGGGGTGTGTGATCGATGTTGGGCGCTGCTGTGGCCGCCTGGAGCTGACGGAGGCGTCCGGTGGCCGCTACTCCGGTCCCGATCTCGGCTCCGGGTGATTCATGACGGACACTTGATTGTCTGGCTCCGACCACAATCGGCTGCGAGTGCCGGCGCTTGATTAAAACACGCCCTCTCACATTGGAGAGGTCAGTCCGTTAAGCGACCACCTTTAGTAGCGCGCCATTATTATAAAGTAATGTACTATCATTACATTACCGTCATGACATTATCATTACCTTACGTTATTATCGTTACATTACAGACCTCGATCGGGTTATTGCTTGAGCGTGATGTGGACCACTCGCTGAGGGCCAATGCCGCCAAGTTGTTGTCGCTTTGATTCCGCGGTGACACGAGTCGACGCCACGTCTCGGCGTGCTGCGCATCCAAACTGGCCGCCTGGAGCCCAGCCTTGAGAGAACGTCGCCGTCCTGGCCTCAGACAGACACACGCCCCCGACCTTCGCTGCTCATCGTCCACTATAACTCATGAGCTGCGATGGTCGGGAATGTCGGGGCGACGCCGCGGGCGACGGGCGTGGTATACAGTGCTCGAGGCTGACGCCTGTGGTGGCGTCCGTCAGCTGCCTCCGACTAACGTAGGCGCCGCCGGTGTTTATCCCCTCCCGCAGAGCTGTGGGGCGCCTTATAGCATCGGAGCCATCCAACATCCGAGGTGGCCAAAATGCCGACGCCGTATTTCTTTAGTTTGCTTATGCCTCCAATATAAATGGCATCCTTTTTGGCCTGCAATCTGGATATAAACATTGTATGTTGATTTCGCGACGTGTTAACGCACTATCGCCCGCCGCCAACAACGTCAGCGTTCGTGTTAGTGTTGACCCGCCGTGTAAATGGCGGCAGCTCCTGGCTGGCGCTATATTCGGCCTGGGAGTAAACAGCGGCAGGGGCTGGTCGGCCTGAACCGCGGCCCGGAGGCGGTGCCGCCTCCCCATGTGTGACGCGGCCGCAGCGCCGGGCCCGCCGCAGCTGACCGGGACGGTGCGCGACCCGGCGCCACGGCGCGTCCCGCCCCATTTACCGCCGATGACGGATGACGTCGGCGGCAGGCCTTCTGTGCACCGCTCCGCTGTATTCAGCCGTCGCCGGGGTTATTGGTAACGGCCGGCGCCTGTTCAGCCGTGTGGTGCTTAGCCTTTGCAGTCAAATGATATGCACCCTTTAGATTAAAGAATTTCCCAGCTTGGCTTCTTGTCGAACGCAGAAGCGCCCGCCATCCCTCGGTCCAGGTTTAGACTTGTAAATGAAGGCGACTGTCGATGGTATAGTTGATTTTCTTGCAAGTCCTCTCATCTCTGTCGAACGATTGCTGTTGCAGTAGGTTTCGTCACGAATGTGCCAATTTCTTTGTAACGGTATTGTCTGTAAAAGGCCAGATATCTGAGAAGATAAGACTGCGCTTAGTTCTGTTGCTGGCTTTTTTCCCTGGAACCATGAATCGGCACAACGTGTCCAGATGCATCACCACTTCCATATCAAGAGCCTTCGAAATCCAACGTCGCGTCCAATCCCACGGACGTGCTCGTCCCGCGGCAGCCTCATGGCACTGACGGCCAGCTGCGGGTCGGCTAGGACGACACATGGAACAAAGGCAGCCTGGCGGCGTGCCTTCCCTCTAACCAGGGCGTCTGGGCCGATAAAGCCCACCACCTCAGCGTGCCAGAAGTCCCCGCGCTGTGACCTCCACCTGCGGCCGGTATAATCTGCCGGATAATATATACTGTGGCCGACGGTCGGCGCGTTCTGTCGCGGCCCGAGTGACCTGATGGAGGGGTGTGTCACCTCGGAGGCTCCTGGGGAACGGAGGGTCTACCACGTGGCTGTCGGTTGAGCCCGTGCTTCGGAGCGGACGACCTCCGCCTCTCACCCGCGGAGTACGCCGTTCGCCACGGACGACCTGACCTTCTCTGGGCCCCACCAGACCGGCCCGCGTCCTCCGCAGTGCTCTGCACCGGGCCGGCTCGGCGGTGATGACCAGCAGCGGCCCTGCAGGCCGGTGTGATGAGTGTGCGCCGCAGCTGATCCGAACCGGCTGGCCATGGCCTCAGCTTCGAGCCAGAAATCACACGCCTGAGCTCGCGATGTGGCGCAGCGGGGGGGGGGGGGGGGGGGGGCGGGGGGGGGCGCAGGGTGGACGTACCGGTCTGTGGTGGGGAAGAGACGGTAGGATTGTGAAGCTCCCTGGTGCAGGACAGAGGGCGCCAGACTACTGCTGTGCAGGCTGGCGAGGTGACTCCGTGAGATTGGTAGCCCGGGGGAGGCAGACCAAAAGGCGATGGACAGATACAATTGGGAAGAGGAAAGATGGCGGGAGTAGACCGAAAAGAGGTGGACGGATACAAATGGAAAGAGGAAAGATGGCGGAAGCCCGACCACGTAACACACAGGTCACCATTTTGTAGCTATGATCACATGCGGGCGCCTTAGCCCTGTTAGTTGACCATATTGTATTTTTTAATTACTTACTTCTTTGTTGATTTGGTTGGATTGTGCCGAGTCCGGTCACGTACCTTTAGAGGAGATTCTTACCGGGCATTGTTCGTGTGCTCTGCAGCGCCAAGTTTCGTGGGCTCCATGGAGCACGGCGATCACGTGTACTTCTTCTTCCGGGAGACGGCCGTCGAGTACATCAACTGCGGCAAGGTGAGGACCAGCGCGATGAAATAACAATGCTGGGAAGTAACGTAAACTAAAGCTTAAAGTACTGTGACCGAAGATGACAGAACTCTGGTTGCTCCCGGCTGCGTGCTTTCCGAACGCACAGACTGTGCCCAGCGAAACATCGCGCCGTGTCTAGCTGGGCTTTGCTGTTTCCTTGACTATCCGTGGTTCGTCATTCTCGACATGAGTTCGACATGTACTAAGTTCGAACACGACCCCGTATGAGTTCGGACATGTATGAGTTCCGACACGACCATGTATGAGTTCGGACATGTATGAGTTCGGACACGACCGTCACAGGTGTGTCACTGTGGCTGTTCCGTCGCTGACGGGCCCGACCGGACCGATTAGACATGTACTACTCACGCCACATTGCGGTCGCTGCGGCCATGGCATCGGAGCTTTTGTGTGTCCTGAGGATCACATGATTTATTGCTGTCAATCTGCGGGGAATCAATTATTTGAGCGCTTCATGGCTGAAAGAAAATCCGGCATTGTTTTGCCGTGGCGATTTGACCGACTGCTGTGTGGCTAGCTGGGCGGCGTAGGCCATGACCCCGCGGTTTGTTCACAGAGGGTGTACTCGCGCGTGGCGCGCGTTTGTAAGAAGGACAAGGGCGGATCAAAGAAGCACAAGCACAGCTGGACGTCTTTCCTCAAATCCAGGCTCAATTGCTCCATTCCTGGGGAATATCCCTTCTCATTCGACGAAATCCGTGAGTACCATAACGCGTCTCGAAGTTTGTGTAGTGAAGGCCATGATCTGCCCGCGAATGCCGTCTCATCAAGCCATTTTCGACCCATTCATTGGGTTTTAACTTTCTTCTTTTTCTGTTCGCTAAACAGTCTTACATTCCGTTTGCATGTTGAGTGTTCGGCGGCAGTGATAAGTGACCGACTGCGGACACTTTCACAGCCAGCCACCTGTTTCCACTTGTCTATGTAAAATCCCTACAAGTGTTGCCGGAAATTTTCATCACCCACGGCCGGTTCTGTTTATTTTCACCACATCACCTTCGCTTAAGCCGCTGCCAAGGCGTGAAGCCCCGGCGTCATTGGAAGAAAACGAATAATTCCCTCTGCGTCACGTATTGCAAACAGGAAAATCATCCGATTAGAGTTTCAAGACGAGGATTAGGGACTTATGTGACGAGGCTGTGATGGCTCACCTATCATTCTGTGTGAAGAGGAGCTCAAGGCAGGGTCACAGAAATTAGATTAGATGGCTTAATTCCCCAAATAACCAGCCTGGATAGCAACGCCGAGATGCGCGCAGCCCGGCCAGGCTTGTGGGTCAGGTGGTGATTTGTGTGGGCCGCACCAACACAAATCAAGGCCGTCTGCTTTCATTTTGCTTATCCACTCATTTCCCCTGCTCAGGATCGAAGGTGTCGCGAGTGGCAAATTTACAAAAATCACTGGCGGGCGACTTACACTGTTCGCTGTACCGTTCGCAGAGTCGGGCACGCTGATGCGGTCGGCGATACTGACGCTCATCCGCCGCTCCCAGCCTGTGCTGGGGGCCGCTCTCTGACCGCGCTGCCTCGTTCGCAGAGTCGATATCGGCGGTGCAGAGCGGCGTTTACGGCGGCCGGCCGGAGGAGATCCTCTACGCCGTCTTCACCACCCCCTCCAACAGCATCCCCGGCTCGGCCATCTGCGCCTTCCGCATGGCCGACATCGTCGAGACCTTCAACGGCGCGTTCAAGCACCAGCAGGACATGAACTCCAACTGGCTGCCCCTCCAGAATTCTCAGGTATCGGTCAGAGAGCAGACCTCGGCGCGGGTGGCTGGGCATTTTGGCTGGGTGGTTAGGCACTTCCGACTCTTCGGCAGGTTGGCTAGGCACCTCAGCGGGGTAGTTAGGCGTTTCGGCAGGGTGTTTAGGTACTTTGGCGGGGTGGTTAAGCACTTCGACCGTTCCCACGTTTATACATTTTCGGCTCTGACTTTCTCTGTTGGATTTCGACACTGAAAATTTGTGTTTTTGGAGTATTACACGATTATCCATGTACACGATGAATTGATCAGGTGCTGGCCATTTGCCGATCAGTAGGCGGCGCGAGACCACACGGACATTGTGTCATGCGACGTTACACTAATCTGTTCCCAAACAACAGCATTTTGACCATGATAGACACTCTGTCCATTGATACGTTTGATGGCATCGACGGCTTACCAGGTAACCATGATGCGCGTGACGGCGCCGGCTGACCCGTCGTGTGACCCTGCCTGACGTCCCGCGCGTCGCCACAGGTGCCACAGCCGCGGCCCGGCCTCTGCGTCAGCGACTCGCGCCGCCTGTCCGACGTGCACCTGAACTTCATCCAGTCGCACCCGCTGATGGACGCCGCCGTGCCTGCGCTGCACGGCCGGCCCCTGCTGGTTAGCACCAGTCTGCGGCACCGGTTCACCAAGATCGCCGTCGACCCGCAAGTGGCCGCCGCCGACGGCACGCTCTACGACGTGCTCTTCATCGGAACCGGTACGGCAGTGCGCAGGCGCGGCGGGCGGTGCGCTGCGGTGCTCGGAGGTGTGTCTGCGTGTACGGTTCATGTCGGAGGTGTTTGTATTTGCGCGCACCACGCTGCCAGCTGTCCTTTTTTACGTGCATTTGTCCCTCTGCCTTACGTGAGACGTGACACTGTTGGCCTTCGCGAGTCTCACCCACTCGGTACAACTCGCATACCAGTATCGCTAAATGCCCGCCTCGACCGACAGACGACGGTCGTGTGCTGAAGGCGGTGAACGCGGCTTCTGGCTCGGCGTCGGTGCGCGCCGAGCCGGTGCTGGTGGAGGAGCTGGAGGTGTTCCCGAGCGGCGCGGCCATCACCAACCTGCTGGTGTCGCGCCAGCCGGCCGGCCCGGCCCGGCTGGTGGCCGTGACGGACAGTGAGGTGCGCGCGCTGCCGCTGTACCGGTGCGGCGACAAGGCGGTGCGCTGCGCCGACTGCGTGCGCCTGCAGGACCCGTACTGCGGCTGGGAGGCGGCCGGCCAGCGCTGCGCTCCGGTCGACTCGTCCTCCTGGCCCGAGGGCATCGCCGTGGTGCAGAACGTCAGCCACGGCGCGCACCCGCACTGCCCGCCCGGTGAGCGTCACGTCCCGCCTGAGGCTGGCTCCATGCTAGGAACGCGTATGCGGATTGCTGCTGTTTGTGGGCTGCTTAATTGATAAGACGGTGAATAGCTTTGTTTCATTTTCAAATTGCCTGCCGATCCCACTCGACTTTTCGCTGTTTTTTTTTTAACTTCGAGCGACAGTTTTTACGGGTTACCAACATTCTGGGAATTAAACAAGGAACAACCGTCAGGCAACTAAGGCTGGCATTTACCCCTTGTTTTATCCTCTGAATGTTGGTGGCCTGTAAACTGTGGCTCGCTGTCACCCCCCCCCCCCCCCCGAAAAAACAACTGAGAAATCTATTAGGATCGACAGGCAATTCGAATTCACTACTGACATTAGTTTCGACAATGATATGTAGCCGAAATATCATATCTATCTCTCCATTCTCCCGGTTACTCGACGAGGAATAAGTCTATCATTACTGTCCTATCTATATGTATAACGTTCCTCGCAAATGCACTTAGCTTACGCAGTCTGCTTAATTGATTTAGCTTGTGTGGTTCGTTGGCGTAGGTTTTGTCGGGTCGTGGCTGATGCTTTGACTTGCCAGATGTGAGCGTTAAGAGTGCTCCTTAGACTCGTGCAACTCAGGGTGTAATGGCTAAACCCTCCGTAAAAAGCCATCCGCGCTCCGTTATCTGGGCAGTGAGCGTCATTCATTTCAGTAATGCGGCTTAGCATCCGTCGAGACTTTTGTCGCCAGAACAATGCTTTTACTGAGCCTGCCTGAGCGAGAGACAGACAGATCGTTTAATGCCACCGTTTCATTTGCAGACACGACCAGCGAGCGGGCGGCCGTCTCCCGGGAAACAGCCAGTAAGTGGCACACCGCCCGTCGGTCATGCGCTCTATGTGTCGTCTTCGTGCTCTGATCCGCGAACTGCGACTCGCTGCGCTGTAGTTGCTGACGTCACGCTTTTGTGTTGCTCCTCGCCGCTTGGTGCTCCGCCGTTTGTGTGTGCACCGGCCAGCACGCGGCCTGTGCTGCGCGCCTGCGTGTTGCCTGCGGCACTGCACGGCGGTCCCTGCATCCTCTGTCTGCTTGTTTGTAGCGCCCCGCACCACGGCGGCCACCACGACAGCACCGGCGCCCTGTGACTGTGGGGCCGACCCGGCCGGCGCGGCGACTCGCACCCCCAACACGCCGCGCGCGGCGCACACACTAGGTCAGTGCTGGCGATGTCCAGGACCTCCACTGCCGTCCATACCCGGCAGTGGAAACATTCAGGCTGAGTTCTGCATTTATCAGCCATCATAGGACACGTTTTGGGCGCATGCCTGCTATTGTCTCTTCTATTCATTCCGTACGAGGGAGTACCACGTTCAGAGGGTTCAGCCCCATTAGCTTCGTTGTAAAAGCAGTGCTAGTCACACGATAAATTATGTTGCACATTACGGTTAAAATGCAAATTCAAGAGCAGGTTTTGGCACAATCACAAGAATTACAGTATTGTTCCATCAGGTAAAGTTCACAAAGAGCATAGTCCAACATTTTCGTTATTGCAGAACCAGCCGTTGACAGAAAGCTGTCTGATCCAGAAACGGCCGGACAAAAGGTTGTTGACACGGTGGAGCGGACCAAGTCCCGCCCGTTGAGCCAGTTCCTAGGTAAGACCGGAAACCATCGCCAGCTTGTCGTGGCTCTCACTTTTCATTTTACCGCACGCTGTTCTCCTGCATGCTTCTGGCACGCCCGGGGTGTTTTGCTGGCCTGGATCGTGGGGTTGTTATGTGCTCCCGCTGCTGCGGGGTCAAACCGTCCGATCGGAGAAATTAGAAGGTAAACATAGCCCAGGTCATTTCAGTCTGTAAACTGTTACGCTGCCAATTACCACGCATCGCACACCGAGCAATAATGGCAAAAAATTACTACATTATCGCATACCGCATGGGTCTATGGCATACCCCACTCCAAATGCCAGTCCGAAAGTCTTCCGCCGCCACCTCTCGGCAGCCCACCAGCGTTGCCTGACGTCAGTGTCCGTGCCCACAGAGTCGCAGTACTCGACGGCGGCGGCGACGGGCGGCATGTACACGGCCGAGACGCTAGCCGTAGCCGTGGTGACCACGTGCCTCCTGGCCGCGGTGATCGGCTTCCTGGCCGGCTGGCTCATCTCGCGTCGCTACTCGCGCACGCGCAGCGAGGCCTACTACGAGACGCCCCACCTGGACCACAAGTCGAAGATGAACCAGATGGAGACGGCCCCGCCGGTGAAGCCAGACAACAGGTGAGGCGCGCCGGCCGGCTTTTACACGCTAAAGGTTTCTTCAGCAAGTGAAAAATTTGTTTTATTCAACACGTCAAGCTGGGCAACTGGATCCGACATTGGTCGTGCCGCCATGATGGAACGTGCAGTCCTAGTTGCCGGTGGCCTTCCAGGCATCGCTTTAATCGGAGAAGGAAAATCCTGGCCACATGTTTGGATGCATGGACGCCGTCAGATCTCTCTGAGACAGTTTGTTCCGCCTACAGCTCAGCGCAGTGATATTAATTATTGTTTTTTTCAGATGTGACCAGCCGGTGTTTACCAGCGTGGAGCAGCCGTTCATGGGGAACAACGGCAAGCCGATCAATACGCTGGTGAACCAAACCAAAGGCACAAATGACCGGACGTGTGATCTAGTGGCGGGCACTGATACGCTCCAGAAGAGGCGCAAAATGTACCTGTAGTATGTACAGTGGTCGTGTCGTGCACAGCGCCCCTGGCGGCGGGCGGCGAAACTCTTTACTAGCGGAGCGGAGCGCGCCGCCCGAGGCGCTGCGGCGCCGGCCCTGACCTCGGTGACCCGTGACCAGGGCGGCGTGCTGGCCACGCGTCCGCCCCGCCAGCGGAGATGTGGACCAGCCCTCTGCCGGACTTCCCGTGGTGGACGGTCGGCGTGTCGCTCGCGCAGCGGCTCACCGACCACACGCGGCTTCGACGAGGAACGCACGGTAAGCCCGCAGCTCACAGGTTGCGCCAAAGAGTGAGAGAACGTTTATCATTCGGGGTGATAGTCATGGAGCATAGTGTCGTTCTTAGGGCCTCAGCTCGCGTATTGCAATTTGCGCGTACATGATATGTGGTTAAGTACATGTGTTTGTGAGGCCTAGAAATTAAGGTGCCTTCTTGTTCGATGGAGCATGCATTTGTTAGCTGAAAAGCCTCCAAATTGATACCGCAAGCTCAGTTTGTCTAGTTTTGGGTGATTTCAGGTCTGTTGCTGCGACGCGAAACTGGGCGTTAATGCTACCACGACCCGCCGTTCATTTGCGCTGCGCGTTGACCAATGCGAATGATCTAATGCAGCGCTGCATTCTCTTCAGGAGCTGGGCCGCATCATGGGGCGACACGCGGGGTAGCTGCCATCGCATCCGCGCGGCGACGAGGTCACCGAACACGGAGTCCGCAAGTCGAGCGCCGCATCTTGCGGCTCCACCAGCGTGACGGACATCTTCTCGCCCTCCCATCCGTGTACATCGGTACAGCACGGACATGGAATGCTGGAGCGGCCGCGCCTTTCAGGCCACTGTGATAGGGAGTGGGTGTGCATTTCGCGATTTGTGCTTGGGGCCGGGGTAGTGCCGGCCCGTCTGGCCTGTGGCCCTTGACACATGCTGCCTTATTGCCTGGAGGCTTCCGTCCAATGCGCATGCGCGTCCACCAAGTGACTTGCTTTGCTCGCTCGTTTTGTTTTTCGTTGGATGAAGTGGCCAAGAGGGTTCTCGCGACAAGTTGCCAGCCACGACCGCGCTAGAATACTCGATGCGTCGATTGTATGACGTCCAGTCCGGCGACAGTACAGCCCACCTTGTGCGCCAGCAGCAGTGGGTCCGCGCACTGCGCCAGCAGTGGGTCCGCACGCTCTGGACAGCTGCGGAGGTGCTTGCGTAGCTTCCCGCGGCGTCTCGCATGCGAAGCGTTAATGTGTGTCCATACCGGCCCCCCACCGACCTTCCCTGCGGCCAATCGGGCCTGCCCGCGCCGATTCTGTCTGTTGAGCTAGAATACTCGATTCACGCTTGCCACTGGCCTGCTTACTGTCACTCGGCTTGCCTTAGCGCTAGGGTCGCCAGGGCCTGGTGCGTTCAACGGGGGCAGAAAATAGCGGCCCAAACTGCGCCGCCTGCGTGGGCCATGCCGACGGCCTGCGTGCATTGTGTGCCTCTCAGGGTAGCGTTGGCTCCTGGCCAGGATGTGTTGGCTCTCGCGGTGCCAGCCAGCTCGCGCGGAGCGGGCACAAGTCTTCTGCTCATGGGTCGGTTGGACCCGGCCGACCCCTGAGGCCAGTGTGGGGTTGGTATTTTGGACGTAGTCTGCGCGTTTCGATCGGTCGTGTGGATATTCGAATGTGCTATTTCATATAGAAGTTTATTGCGTTGCGTAATGTAACGGTACATGTGCCTGCCTGGTGTGGTGTATTGTATTATGGCTGTGATAATTTCAAGCAGGGTGATGCGCAATACAAATGTATCGTGTATGTGAAACCTTGTATGTGTATGTGTAAGGAGCAGCCCGGTACAAATTTTCATTTTACGGATGCTGTGCCTTCGCACGTGACAGGAGGCTTCTGGCTCTTCCTCTGCCTGCTTGACCTGACTTAGATTGCTGCCGAAGTGCGGCTCAGAAACTTTCCGATTCGGCACCTTTTGGTTTTTTCTTCGGTTCTTTCGTTTCCTCGGTTTTCTGGTACCTGCCAGCGGTTGGTGTCCAGTTTCTGATTTCACGCGCCGTGTGACGTCACCGTTACTGGCGGAAGCGGTGCGGACGTCTGCTGAAACCAACTCGGCCCCTGACGCTGTCACCCGTCAGTGAACCGACTCGGCCCCTGGCGCTGTGACCCCGTCAGTCAACTGACTCGGCCCCTGGCGCTGTGACCCCGTCAGTCAACCGATGCTGACGACCCATCGTGGCGGGCTCCACTGAGAAGGCGTCAGCGCATAGCTGGCATAGAACGATTTGCCTGAAGCTCGTCTTGGCTGCGCCACCAGCTGTCAAGTTGGGTCAGTACGCCACTACTGTTAAGTTGAGGTCAACGTCACTGGCACGACTACTTGGGAGCCGCTGCTTTCAAGATAATGGATCTCCAGCATTTCAGAGCATTAATTTTGCTCCCGTTTTCAACCTTCAACCGTCCCGGTCTCAGAGAGTGATATTTGGGAGTGGGGGGAGTGTGTGTGTGGGGGGGGGGGGGGCGGGGACGATCGATCCAGGCGCATCGGTGCTGAGTCAGGAAAGCGATGTTCACCGATGGTCCGCGTGAGGCAAGCTGCCCGATTCAGGTTAGTTGTGAACTAATCTGAATCCGGCGACCCAGCCGTGTGTTATTGATGGAAAACCATGTGCTACACTGTAGCCGAGGTTTCCGCATTTATAGATTGGGATGCAGTTAACACATTCGTCTCAATGGTTATGATAACCCCGCCCAAGGTTTGTTTGAAAGGATGTTCCCACTGGTATAGGGTTTTGAACTGAAAGTCATTTGAAGGTCATGCGGTGCAGTCACAGTCAATGCCCTCGTATGACCTGAAAACCTTCGAATTTCTGATTCACGCTCGCGAAGGTGTGCAGAATGTTTTGTGCGGACTATTTCAAGCCATTCAGGCATGCACGACGCCATGGCAACGCCATTCAGATTTGCCAACCCAAGGGGCCATGCGGCGTTCAAGGCCAAGAATAAAATTATCGTTGAGCCGTTTAAGACTGGTGTCCGTGATGCACACGATCTTCAAACATCGTGGACGTCAGTTGGCTCTCAGCCAACAATGAGTATTCCGTACAAGTCTCGGTCCCGATTTGGTTAGTTTCGTTACCTGGATTAGAGCCCTTAAACAGTATTGATCATGCAGGGTCATGGGTGAGGGGGATGGATAACGGTGGGATAGGACGCATAGCGCCTGGGGGCAATCGCCGAGCTTAGCCCGCGCAAGGACCTTCTGCGGGGTTATGCTCTGGGCGCCCGGTCGGGGTCCTCTACAGTGTGCCTCTGGGCCCACTTGTAGCTGAGCATGCAGCCTGCTCCCGGACAAGCGGGGCCTAGCGGCCGCGGGCGTTGGCGTGGGGGGGCGGG